TGAACCACGATGCCTATACAACCTTCGCCACCATCTTGATCTTCCCACTCCCAGTCGGGACCTCGGACAACGCGGCAGCCTAGATCCATTTGAGAGACGGATTCTAATGCTTCGGTCGGTAAACGAGAGGTTTGTTATGCGACCGTTTTGACCTATATTACTCTCAGTCACGAGATTTCCGCAATTGCTACAAGAAAATAACATACTTTTGAGCAAATAATATCGAACAGCAACGATAATTTATCCATTTTAGAACTAATCTTGTATCTTATTCCAAGAATTAAAAAATAGCTGTTTAAATTGCGGGTATTTTCAATTTCACTTTCAGATTTCGTTCCTAACAGAATTTCATACGATGTCAAATTTAAATTTTGCTTCAGCCAAATAGAATAATATCAGCGAAAATTGTTTGAAATAAATTTAGATCTGACTGGGAAAGAGAGAATTTAAAGGATATTGCAGTGAAATCAAATGAATTGTCGATTGCTTTCGGGAATAGGTCTAGACGTAACAAGCCGAAATGAGAGAAATCGACTCGACTCTTCGCATTTAAAAAAAAAATCCAACCATACGAATATTGATCGGACTATTTTCGAAAAAAAGTTCATTTCAAATGTTTTTTGATTTCACTTACCTTTAAAAATGATCGAAACCTTTCGATTGTGATATCCAAAGAACGCTTTGGCACTTATAAGCTGTCTTCGGCGAAATTTGTCATTGGGGATTCCCCTTAAAAGATTTGACCTATCACAGTCCGTCACGGTATCTACGTTTCATGGAAAAATAGCACACGCATATGCATAAACAGCTGAATCAACGAATCATAAAAATGCATTTTGTCTTCTTTTTCATTAATATATATTTTTATATCTTTTGTCAAGTATAAATCTTTTAGTAAAAAACAATGTGATAAATATGCTGAACTAGCGTTTCTGCTGAAGTTCTTACTAGTGTAGAGCATTGTGCTCAAATATTAATCTGCAGCGAATACATTTATCTCGGCGATCCCAGCGACCGCACGATTATATGGAAACCAGGCTTTAACGTTAATAAAAACTTAACATATCCTTGAATACTTCTTCGAAGATGACGAGGAAGTTGAAAAAGCCACTAGAATCTTGTTAAATTGTTAATTGTTAAAATTTCACCACACCATTTTTCGCAGTGTACATATATTTATAAAGCCAAAATATATCATGACATTATACATAGTATAATGACAAAACTCAAGCTGTATATTATTTGAAAGCTTCAATTTTTTTAGTGATTTTTTCACTTTCATTTCCTCTACTCGTAGAACGGTGCAACAACACACTGAGGCATCGCGGTTTGAACCTGAATGCTTGAGTTTCGATTAGCTGCCTGAAAATTGCCCTGTAGTCAGTTACTATTTGACATGCACTTTATCTCTTACACAAAGTGTTTTAAGTGTAAAAACGTAACAAATTCTCAAAATAGTGAAACAGGTACACTTTATTTCCTGGCTACCACTTTCGGATGACTTTATTGCAAACTGAAACTGGTTTTAATTTACAAAAGTTTTAATTTTCTGCGCGAATGGAAAGTGAATAATGAAAAATTGCTACTCGATACAATACATTTTGATTGCTCTTATTCAGCAGAAATATTATGTATTCTATATTTAGGGGAACGAGAGGTATTCGTCCCCATCAGCAAAATAACTGTTCAATGAATCATTTAGATATTTTACAAATTTATCCAGGTCTATTTATGTATATAGCTATTTCAAAAAAGGTTGTCTGATAAAATGGTGAATGTCAATGGTCGAACGGCGATTGCACGACCGAAAGTAGCCATGGGTTTTGCTAATTGAAAGGCAATAAAAACTGATTTGTACTGTAAGATGGTGTGTGGTAAACATTGCCTCCATTTAGTCTCCATTCTATGTAAGGTGAATCCAATAAGTGAAATATTTATAAAAACAGTGTAACCATAGTCCCTTTCGGTCGTACAATCTCCCTTCGACAATCACCGTTCGTTTTGAAATAGCTGTATATGTTTTTTTTCATAAAGCTTTGTATTGCAGCAGTCCATTCACGTGAATTTGCGCACCATAAGCTGGCCTTGACCTCAAAATCTTAATGCATAGTTTACGTAACAAAAATTCTTTGAATTTCTTCGCAAAAGCAAAAATAACGAATAAAAAGTATTGCAGTGTCATAAAATACAATACATTTTTAAATAAAAGCTTGGTGACAAAATTGTACTGATGACAAAACTTGTACCACACACAAGTGATCGTACAATTGAAAGAAATTAAAATGGCGGATATTTATCGAGTGAGCTCAACAAAAAATGGATCAAGATATATAACTGTTCAGTGAATCATTTTATTCAGATCATGCATATTTTTGTGCATGTTTTTTTCAAAAAGCTTTGTTGGGTTCAATTCTAGACAATTCGATCACATGACTTGAGTTTGCATTTTTAGCTGGCCTTGACCTCATATTCTAAATACATGCTTACGTAGCAAGAATCATTTTTTGCAACATCATTCAAGAATAACTAACATAGTAAGCATCCAAGGATGATAAAATACAATAAGATGGCTGTTCAAAGATTGTTGATGAAGTACTATTCAAACATGGTTCAGAAGTTTGTTGATGAAGTGTGGTTCAAACGTGACGAAGGAAATTCAAAATGGTGGACGACGTTCATTGAATTGAATCATTGACGTATACTCGTGATTAGTCTCCTCGCAGCCGTGTTTAGTTTCGGTCACGCGTCACGCAACCTCTCCACACACGGCTGCTTCGACCAACGGCTGATTCCATTTCAATACATTAGCCAATCAGAGCTCGACTCGAGAAATCAAGGAGTCATTCGCGCTCAAAATGGCGTCCTTCGAAGAAGTACTCAGTATTGTCGCCGAAAAATTTCAAAATAGAAAAGCTAAACTAGCGGTTTCTTTCGAAAGGTAAATGCTGCGACAATGTTGGCTAGCAACCTTTTAAGTCTGGTCCTCACTAGCACATAAGAGCAAGCATAAGAATATCCCAGTAGTGAAACATTTGATATAAACATAAGCAAAAGATTATTAAAATCTTTTGTTGTTCCTGTATTTATGCGCTAGTAAAGGCCAATCTTCAGGGAGTGAGGTTAT